AAAGTTTCAAGTCACCTTAATATCTGTTGACAGAGCAAAAACGTTACGGGTATTGCGCAGGATACCGCTGACAATTGACGCGCAAGAAAGTCCGATTGCCCAAGATGTATATCCTTTCAGCTTAATAATTTCTCCAGCACTAAATGCAGCAGATTAAACTGACCAGTAGCAGCAGTTATTACTGGTTAATAATGCATGACCAACGCTAAAATGAACCTTTGTACGACTAAGTCGTGGATTTCTTTCTTCCATGCGTCGCTAAGAACTTCACCCTTGGATTTGGTTATTAAATCTTTAAGTCTAACACCAGCTACATTCACTCCTGACCAGACAGGAACTGAAAGCTCAAGCATTTATATAGGCTGTTTTGGTATCCAGTTATCAAACTGCTATTTCATGGTAAGAATTAAAAGAAGCTTATTTAGATTAGATTGATAAGCTAACTTATTAAAAGTCAGCTTACTGATCTAAATAGGCTTCTTTGGGAGATTTAATACCCAATTTAGAAACAAACCACTAGAGTCTCCGTGTTCCCCAATAATCCATCCGTGGCAACTACTTGAAGCCATTTGTAATCGGTCAGAAAGAAGGAACCTAAAACGTGCAGAGTCTAGGTTGGTCCCTGATCCAATAACACGTTGTTTTGGAAGGCCAGAAAGCTTCCAGGCCAAATAAGTTAGAACGTCCACTGAAAGGACAGACAAGGTCGTAAAACAGTAAAAGATAAAAAGCTGTCCTACTGCTTCATCTGGCACTCAGCATTCCTGGACGTTCAAGTCTTGATGCTTAGCTAAATTTGGAAAATTATGAAACAATTCTTTTCCAAATCGATCTTTTTATTAATACACCTGGGTTAGTTACAACCATCAAAATTGTTTCCGGAGAATATTTGACCAGTTGTGGAACGATGCTCTGGAAAATAGCGACATTCCTTTTGCCAAGGGAAAGACGGTCTTCACCTTCTCTTTGCCGAGCACCAGCAGTTATTATGCACACCTTCGAATTTTCGCTTAGGGCATAATCTGAAAAGGTCATTAAACTAATGTAAGGTTGAAGGATAAAATCAGTAGTCAAGAAAGGTTGAAAAAATGTTTTAAAGAATTTTCACTTTTATTACCAATGTCGTTTAGAATTTCTTAAAAGCCAACCTGTCGATGCCTTAACAACGCAATGACGGGTAAATGCAAGTCCATCTTGCAAATCCATCATCTCACCTTTAAGCTTATTTTTGTCAACGTCAATTAAGCATATTTCGGTGGCAATATTCTGTAATTAATTTTTTCGGTTTGGATCACTGTCAGTGGATATCACAAAGTTTCCCAGTTTAACAAAGCAAGTCTCGTCGTCTACGCTTTCTCGATAAAGATAAATTTAAACGAAAAAAGACTGACAATGAATTTTTAGAAAACTACTGTTTTTGTACTGCGATGACGATATACTATGCTGAGGCTAAATTTTATGAAAATTCTTTTTTTTTTCATTGTAGTGCTTAAGGTTAGTTTTGTCTTTTGAAACTTCCCACAGTTTAAAAACGAGTAGAGAGTAACAGAGGAGGTAAAAAATTGAAAGTTTGTCAGCTGTTTTGTATAAACACTTCAAAACTAAGCAAAGAAAACTCTCTTTCATACTCGAAAGCCTATTGCCCGATTGTCAGCAGCCTGACCAGTTTGGTCAGGAAAAGTTCAAGATGTTTATTTTAAGAAATCTTGGACGATTTATTTTGATTTAGCATCAGGAGTTGAGTTTAACTTATTTCCTTTTAAAAGGTTATGATGTTTAGTTTAACAACGTCTGTTGTCGTTTTGCAGCCAATATATTCTTAAACTTTTTCATAGGTAAACAACTGTATGGTTTTGTAGAGTTCTAAGAAAGGAATCTATTAGAGCTAAGTAGATTACTCTTTTTTTACTTTTTTCTGTAAGACCTTTTG